ATAAAGGCAGAGACCATCTTATTTCTCACAGTGCTTGGTACATAGTAGGCACTAAATAAATATTTGTTGAGTGAATAAGTTATTGAATAAATAAATGGAAGTAAAGTCATTCCTTAAATACATATATAACTTTACCTTTTAAAAATGTATATTTTATTACCTCTAAGGAACTTTAAATAAACAGAATCTAACAGGTTTATTCCACATCTTATCACACTTTCAACAATAAAGATGTCACAGCTCTCCAAAATGATAGGCCGCCTATAGAGTTAAGGCTTCAGTGGCTAGCAAGATGGTGTCATCAGAAGAAATGGGCTACATAACCTTACCCGTAATCTTTGAAAGTTTTAGCACAGTAATTCATTTTTACAGGGCTTTCTACTTTGTAATATCATTCCTCTTGGTCTTAAATTTTTAAAAAATGGGGTCAAGAGAATTGTTTCATAATGGAGGTGATTTGGCCATAATTCTTGAAATAGCTTTGAGAAACTTACTAAAAAATGAAATTATGCAGAAAGCTTACTAGTTGGAATTCAGAATGACTGACTGGACAGAAGAAACTGGGTAAAACTCATGACCCTTTGCTGACAAAGCAACCTACATTAAGGATACAAAGCCCTCATGGCTTGACTGCTACAAATTCCTGAGCAGGAAGTACCGCTGGGGAACAGGTCCTCCTCCCCCAGTAAGAAGAAGATTTTATACGTCTCAGCCTTATACTAAAAATATTTTAAAATCACTAACAAGGTTAAACAGTAAATGTTAAGAGATAAGAGTATATAAGGAGAGTATATAATTAAGAAAGAAGAGCGAGTATTCTTGTAGTTTAGTAAATATATTGTTATAGGAGGAATTGATTAATTGAATGATTGGCAAAGGCATAGAATGTCTTATGTGAATGTTTTAAAAATCCAATATTTTGTGCTCATCTCCTCACTGACTAGACTCTCCTATCCAAAGGAAAAACCATTTTTGGTATCAAAATATCATTTGCACACTTTACCAAAACATAATAACTATAAAATAAATCAAATTAACATTCTAGTGCCATGCCTATTGTTTGCTCCATAACATACTCCTAATCAGTAGCTGAATACAGAAGTATTCTTCTGTGTCTCTCTCCAGATACTCTCTCTGTGTGCCTTCTGAATTAATGAGTATTTTCCAACATCAAGGGTCTTACAGCTTTATGATTTGCAGTAACCTTTTCAACCAAGGTCAAGATGACCTTTTGAGAGATTTTTAAAGATAAAAATTCTTTAATAAGAATTATCTATCCCTAACTGGTTTGGCTCAGTGGATAGAGCATCAGCCTGCGGACTGAAGGGTCCCAGGTTTGATTCCAGTTAGGGGCACGTGCAGGAGGCAGCCAATCAATGATTCTCTCTCATCATTGATGTTTCTATCTCTCTTCCCCTCTCCCTTCCTCTCTGAAATCAATAAAGATATATATATATAAAATATATATATGTTATATATATGTGTGTGTGTGTGTGTGTATATATGTATTTTAATTATCTATTTTACTGTGACTTACAGAAATTCAAAAAGTTTGAAAACTATCTTTTTTTCATCCCTCTCTGGAAAGACTTAGTACATAACTATTTTTTATTGGCTGGGAGGGAAAAAACTATGAAGTTTTGTGAAAAGGAAAAGCATCTGGATATAAAACTGATATAACAAACATGAAAGTTTAAACACAAATTTGCAAAAAGGGGAGTCAATAAATTCAGGTACATATTTTCCCCTTTAAAGATCTGGAAAAAAAAGTTATTTTAAGAAGTTCAGAAAAACTAGATATAGAAAGGGACGATACCCAGATAATGAAAGGCAAATATAAATTAGTAAGATACTACAAAAAAGAAATTAAGCCACAAAGAGCAGGAAACAGATAATGAATAAAGAAAACTTTAAATGAGGAAGAAATAAACAGAAGAGTTCTAAGGGGTCCCTTCCCCAGGTAGAGGAAGAAAAAAGAAGAAAAATAGAAGTGGCAGGAAAGACTGTGAACCCAGAAACAACAATCTCAATTTCAAAGACGCCCATGAGATATATGACATCATCTCTTTGAATTCTAGTTACACATATTTGTTAAATACTTGTTTTACTCATATTTCAGCTTTCTTTAAAAAAACAATGTCAATGAATTGTGAAAATTATAGTATTTAACTTTCAGTACTTGGTGAAAATAAATTTATACGTACTCCATTATATAACTGAGAATAGTTGCAAAAAAAATACTTCAAAGGAAATAAAGTGTCAGAAAAATGAAAAATGTTAGGTAACTTTTTTACCAATTTAAAAGAAGTTCAGAAGATAATAGGATAATATTTTTAAAACACAGAAAGGAAATGAGCATCAACCTCCAGATATTAAAAGCATAGTTTTCTCTCACATAGTTAATAAAAAGAGACTAAAAATTGTTCAAAAAAGAAACTGCAATGTACTAAAAAAATTCTGGTGAAGCATATTTTATCATTAAAATAGCAACTTTCCACTGAAAACATTGGTAAGGACACAATTATCATTAACTTTTATTTCTTATATTAATCCATCTTGAAAATAGATTGAAGTTTCATTGAAATAGCACTTTATCATGATCATATCAGATAATGCTACTATAACTGATCTTGGATTAGCCCTGAATTTTCACAAATTAAAATAGGTCAAAGTGTGCTACAGGTTTAGTTGGGAACAAATCAAGTTATTACTGTAGAAAAGAGAATCCTGAATGAAAAGCAACTCTCAGAGAATAAAATCTTTAATAAAGAAATGAAAGGTTGAAAAAACTTAGATTTATAAAAATATGAAGAGAGTAGGGTGGTAGAGGTAGAAAGTAATGTCATAAAGCAAAAAAAGCAGTGAATACAGGGATTGGAGGTACACCAATTTTAGCTTATCTAAGAACAGTCAAGAATAGTGCCTAAAAATGGACTCAGATGTCACACACCCATTCCCACTTCCCAATCATAGAATCTCCTCTCTACTTTTACAATAACATAAAATAGACACCAAATGAGAGTTTCTTATTTTAATAAGAATATATTAAATAATGAGTAAACACTTGGCTCAATGAAGATAGTTATTGCTAAAATTATATGAATCTAGCTCCCCTGTCATATCCATCAGATGTAACAATGAAAAAAATAGGTTCAAGATGACAGAGGACAGTACTCCCCACAGAATAAAAATTCAGGTTATATTTTAAAAATATTTGTTTTACTCATATTTTAGAAACTGTACAAAAGTAAGGTTAGCCAATTAAAAAATATAATGCACATGTCATAATTTGTTGGCTAGTTGTTTATAAGATTAAAAAATATAACTGAATACTAATAGTTTTAAAAGATTAAAAATAAGATAAATTTTTCTAACTAGATCAGTTCACAAAGTAAATTACATAATGCATACACTTTAGTATAACCCAAATATATACAGTTTTTGCTAACTAGAACTTGATTCCTTAAAATCTGATCCATCACAATCAATCCATTGTTAATGAAGGAAGGGGGAGGGAGGAGAATGAAGGAGAGAAGAAGGAAAGAGGGAGAAAGGAAGAAAGATGGAAAAAAGGAAATAAAATTTAAATTATTTCTCATTAAGTATGACTTTCAATCATGTACAAGCAATTCTTGTAACTTCCTTTAAAGTACAGAACTCTTAAAAGGCTCAGCCCACCGGGTTTAGAAACCTGAAATTCGCCCTGCTAGAACATCAGTTACCGTTCCTTCTCCTTCCCAGTTATCTTTTCTCTCTGGAGAACAGTGAGTGGTCGAAAGAATAAAAACACACTACAAGTTAAATAAGTCAAGCACTTATATCCTTTATTGGCTACATTACTGAAACCATTTTGGTTCCAGATAAGCCAATTGTGTCAGGTACAGACAGGTGTGGCTCCAAAATCTCAGAGACAGTTCACTTCTCTCAGTGATATTATGGGGAAGAGAGGGAGAAGGAAACAATATCACTCTTAAATCCTAGCGTACAAAGGGATGTTTCTAGGTGTTTCAAAGGTTTTATACATCATTGCCCATCTCCACAGATACTGGTTGGGTAAAGCATCACACTGTTTCCTCAGTGCACCTTCCAACTCGACAGGTAGGAGGATGAATCACCGTGCACAGGCAGGTTCACTTTAACCTTCACCCCCAAACTTTAGTTTCCGATGATAGCAACTCACACAACTGGTCAGCATTTAGATCTATTAGCGAGTATAATAGAGTTCAAGGGTGTTCACATCAATTTCGGTTCAAAACCCTTAAGAAAACTTTGTAGTTGATCTGATCTTCCATACCATGTCAAAAAAAATATCTGGTTTCATTACGATCCTTAGCAAGAAAGATAACGCACAGCAAAGCTACGCTGAAATGAATCTCCCAAGGACTGAGCTATAATAAACTATACTTTAAGAATCCACTGATCTTGATCAATTTAAGGGAGGGATAAGAGGTAGGGATTCAGGTATTTGCTTCATTCGGGGAACTTGCCAATCATGCTATTGGATAAGGCAGACATCTCGAAAAGCACAAGTTACCAAACTTGTACTTTAGCACAAAAATAAACCCAAATATGAAATATATTTTTAATCAAAAGATAAATAATAAATCCATAATTTTGTTCAGTGCAAACAACTTTGCTATTTTTTACACTATGTAATTCACTTGATACATACTAAATCTATTGAACTCAAGTGTACACGTTTCTTTTTTAAAGACTGTTTAAAACTAACCTTTAAAATACTAAAGTAGATCCCAAATCTATGCTGATTATGGTGATTTAGACCACCTGATTTATGAAATCGTCGATGTCTGCAATTAAATACTACAGTCCTACTTCATTTCACTTTAGCAAAATAAGATTACTGAATGATGTGCCACAGAAAAGATGTTATTGTAATCAATATTTGCCCAAGCCAAATCTTACTTTCAAATGGAATACAATTTAAATTAAAACTACCAGAACCAAGAAATATATATTGCATAGGAAGCTTCAATGCCCACCTTTCTTCTTGACTGGCATTCTTGGTCTTTCCACTGCCACAGGATTCAAGCTCTCTTTTCAGGTCCCAACTTTATCCAACTGGATTGAGGCCAAGAGTCAGGTAACTGTTGCAAACCACTTCACCTACTTGGTTTTGAAGTCCAGGCTGTCTTCTCTTTCGGATAAAGAAAAAATAATGTATTTTTTCCACAATTAAACTTTTGAAACTGCCCACAGAGTTTAGAGAAATATAACTTCAGTTTTTATAAAATAGTATTGGTTGTTGTTGTTTTTTTTAAAAAAAAAAAAGCTGAGAAAATTATTGTAAGCATAAAAAACGTTATTAAAACTCCTCTTCGGGCAGCAACATTTTTGGAGTTAAATGACTAACTCAATTAAGGCACAAACCAAATTTACCAAGCAGTTTCACTGCTCAATACATGATCGTTTTCAAAGATGATCTGGTTGATGATAAAGATCTCTCCGTTAGAGAAAAATTAAAATACCCTCCACCCTCCCTCCTACCCCCCGCCCCCCAAAATACTTTTGAAAACCTCTTTGACTCTGATCTCTAAAAAGGTGGGTGCGTTTGAACAGTTTTTCCGGAGCAGAACACAGACTGAAAGGCCCCTTTCCGTTCCCTGGACCACAAGTTCCAGGTCTCACCCCTCAGTAAGGCAGGATCCAGCTTGCTGTCACTTTCATTTTTTCCCTTCTGTCCTCTCCGCGCCCCTCGGGCTTGATCCTTAATGCCCCCTCTGATTCTGATCCTCCCATGTATTAACCGAGAGGATTGAAAAGCAGGAAAGCAATCCCCTGGCACGGAGGCGTCACAGTGACAGTGCTACTCGGGGGGCACTTGATGCAGGATGAGTTGGCGAAGCAGGTCTCTTCACCCTGGAGTCATTCATTCACATCGTGCCATCTCTTCGCGTCCAGGCAGCTGCCTGCCCAGCGAGGAAAAGCGCCGGGACCGGTCCAGAGCCGCCAACCCTTCCCGCGAAGGTGTTTTCGAGACGCTGTAGTATTAGGCATGTGAGCACCAGCTGTGCACAGGGGTGGCGATTTCCTAAAGGAGAGAGAGTTCGGCCGCTTGGCTTCCACCGCCACCCTGCCTCTCAATCTCTCTCCAAACGACCCACCTTCCTTTTGCAGAAAAGACGGGCAATCTCTGCCACCGCGGGCCACCCCTGCCCACACCCCGTCCTGATAGAGAAGAAGAGCTCAGAGATGTCCTGCACCCTCCGCGCGATGAAGGGTTTCCTCAGGCGGGAGGAACAGCAGCACTAGAAATTATATAACTCTCGAATTTGGCTCCTCTAAGACATGGAGCCTGGAGGGTCGGGGGTTGCTGGTCTGGGAGACACTGCTGGGCACAGAACGTGCAGCAAAAGGGCGCCAGGCCTCCTCGCTGCGCCCCTCGCCCCCGCCCCGAAACACTGGCTGGCCAGGGGGTCTTCTCGGGAAGTGGGGAGCAACTGCCTCCCCGGTCCCTTTCTGCGCGGAGTGAGAGGATGGAATATGAGGGCACTAGAGACGGGGAAGAGGAGCCAGACCGCGGCGAGGGGAGGAGGCCGGTCGGAGATGCCCTGGCGGCCGGTGCGGGGCTCAGGGGAGGAAGAACCCGAGAAGCGGGAGCCTTAATACACGGTCCAGGCCAGAGGGGCGAGCTCCTTCCAGGAATGAGAGGGGCGGGCAGCTCGCCCTGGCTGCGGTGCCCAGAAGAGAGGAAAACGCGCAGCTACATCCCCGAGTTCGCCACGCCCCACGCTCCCCTCCAGGTGGGAGAGGGAGCGCGGCTGACGAATAGCCGCGCTGGGGAATGCGGGCCTGGCAGGAGGGGCGGGCCTACGGGCGGCCGGGCCTCCTCGGAGCCAATGAGCAGCCGTCATTTCGGGACGCCGCGCCCAATCACCGCCAGGATGGAGGGCGCGGCTTTTGACTGGGTCGGGGCGGGCCGGGACCGCCAGAGAGAGGCGTGAGG